CCTCAGCCTCCCAAAGGCGCGGGATTACAGGCTGAGCCACCGAGCCCGGCTAGCAACATATTCTAATAAAATTTATGTGAACAAGAAAATACCTTATTGTAGGTATTTTCATACAGTTTTTTTTTCCTTTCTTTATATTGAGAACTTTTACCTTTTCACTTAAAGGAAACACCTTATGGCTTTTCTTGGCATTCCTGAATTGTCAGCATCACTACTCTTGTGATTTGGGGCCATTATTAGATAAATTAAGGGGCACTTGGCCAGACTTGGTGGCCCACACCTGTAATCCCAGCACTTTGGGAGGCCAAGGCTAGAGAATTGTCTGAACCCAGAGGATCGAGACCAGCTGGGCATTCCAGCCTGGGTGATAGTGAGACTTCAACTCAAAAAAAAAAAAAAAAAAAAAGGGCACTTAAACACAGGCACTGCAATACTGAGAAAGTTGATTTGCTAACCAAAATGGTTAGCTACTAAAGTGACTATCAGGCAGATAATGTCCACAGCATGGGTATGCTGGACAAAGGGATAATTTACTTCCTGAGAGGGCAGGAACACAAAGGCAAGAGATTTCATCATGCCTCTCAGAATGGCATTCAATTTAGAGCTTAGGAATTTTTTATTTCTGAAATTTTTCATTTATTATTTTCAAACCATAATTGACCATGAGTAACTGAAACCAGAGAAAGCAAAACTTCAGATACATTAAAAATCCAGGTCACAGAATATATATATGCTCTGGGAAGGATTTTAGAGAATGCCTCCTTTATTCTCACATTTCTGATGAAACCAAGTCAGAGAGAGAATGGAGCAACTCACTCAAGGTGATTTGTGACAGACCCAGACCTAGTTACTTTCAGTGGTACTTTGTCTAAGATTTATTTATTTTATTTTGTTTTTTTTGAGTTGGAGTCTCACTCTGTCGCCCAGACTGGAGTGCAGTGGCCGCTCCTGGCCACCATAGCCTTGACCTGTTGGGCTCCAGCGATCCTTCCACCTCAGCCTTCCAAGTAGCTGGAACTACAGGTGCGCGCTACTACGCCTGGCTAATTTTTGATTTATTGTAGAGATGAGATCTCACCAAGTTGCCCAGGCGGGTCTTGAACCCGCGGACTCAGGCAATCCACTCACCTCAGCCTCCCAAGATGCAGGATTACAGGCTGAGCCACCGAGCCCAGCTTAGTCTAAGATTTAAACACTAACTCTTCTGTGAATCAAGAGCATCCTTGAGCCGGGTGTGGTGGCCTGTCCCTGTAGTCCCAGCTACTTTGGGGCTGAGGTGGGAGGATTACTTGAGCACAGGAGTTCCAGGCTATATTGTATTATGGTTGTACCTATGAGTATCTACTACACTCCAGTCTGGGCAACAAAGTAAGACCCTGTCCTACTAAAAAAGAAAAAATGTAAAGAGTGTCCTTTGACAAGTTTCTTGGCATCTCTGCGTGTTGGGTCATTAAGATGGGGCAAGTGATTGTAACCTCACTGCTGAGAGGAGTCAGTGGCACAGAACAGGGGTTTAAATTTTGGCATTCCCTGACCTAGTAAGAAACCTGTTGTTTTCTACTCTCCCTCTTGCTGATATGTTTTGTATCTCTCTGACCTCAGGCATCTAAAAACAGGGTGGAGCAGAAGGCAAACGTCCCCACCTGGCATTACTGGATGATAGCAGCTGAGCCAGACTGGCCAGGTCCCTGAACTCTGTGGCCCAGCGTCTGAGGGAACCAAAGGTGTTCTCAACTGTGGAAGAGGAGAATTTGGACAGCTGAACAAAAAAGGAATACACTCCCTTGGAGTAGATACATTTGTCACTGGAAACCATACCAAACCCTGGGGCCTTTGCAGGGTCTCTTCATCTGCCCAGTTACTGAAAGGTAGCTAGCCCCAGGAAGGAGTCCAGTCATCTCTGTGAGCCAGGCCAGAAGTAAACAAAGCTAGAAAGACACACCATGGAAGAGGTGTTTAACCACCTGAAGCCAGTGGAACCTGTACAGAAGATGCTCCCATGGGTGGATGAGATGGGAGCTTCCCTGCAGAAAGCCATGAAGAGAGCTTGCTGGTGGGAGTCATGGGTGAAGGTGAGGAGACCAAGCTAGAGAGAGGGAGCGACCAGGTCCTGTACTCCAGGAGCTGTTTCATCCATACTACTGCCCACAGGTCAAATGAGATCTCAGATTATTCCAGGACGAACAGCACCCAGGAAAAGGAGCTGCAAGACCTTTCTCCATTTCCATGCCATCCTGAAATTCATCAGAGTGGCAACCTTGTTTCTTTTACTTTCTTTCCTGTTTATAGTCTGTGTATCTTCCTCCCTATCCCCACGATCCCCCCCCCAATCTTTCATCCTTTCTCTTCATCCTTCCTTTCCTTTCTGTACTTCATAGCCGCTGGCTTTGCAACTGACTTTTTATATTTCTTTCTTCCTTCCATGGTTTTAGCTTTCACTTAGGTTTAAACTTTCTGAACCTTGAGACTGGATGTCACTCTCTTATGTATGTGTGTGGTTGTATGTATGTGTGTGTACTCCCTGAGTCTCTCCTACTCTTCCAGAATCCAGTTACCTTTGAGGATGTGGCAGTCAATTTCACCCAAGAAGAGTGGGAATATCTAGATGCCAGTCAAAGGGTCCTTTACCAGGATGTTATGTCGGAAACCTTTAAGAACCTGGCATCTGTGGGTAAGAGGCTCTGTTTCCCTCAACAAGCCCCCTCTACTAAGGGCCTTGGAACATCTAGTTTCACTGGGTAGCTAGATCAGCTCACAATTAGTTTCACTGACCCCTGGTTTTATACCTACTAGGTGTGAAAGATCTGGGTCACTAAGTTCAGTGGTAAAGAGAAGAAATGGAAGCCTACATGAAGGCAAAGATAACATTTGTAGTATGATGACAGTATTCTCAAAATAGAAAATTTGCCTATTAGTCCAACCAGTGAGTTTTTAGTAAGTCACTCTTATGGTCCAGGTACTTTACCAGGAGCTGGCCTTTTGAATGTCTCCTCCCTGCAGCTACATGTCCCTGGTTATGGTTCTTTTTTTTTTTTTTTTTTTTTTTTGAGTTGGAGTCTTACTCTGTTGCCTAGACTGGAGTGCAGTGGCACGCTCACAGCCACTGAAGCCTTGACTTGCTGGGCTCAGGTGATCCTTCTGCCTCAGCCTTCCAAGTAGCTGGAACTACAGATGTGTGCCATCATGCCCGGCTAATTTTTTTTTTTTTTTTTTGAGTTGGAATCTCACTCTGTCGCCCAGACTGGAGTGCAGTGGCCGCTCCTGGCCACCGCTGCCTTGACCTGCTTGGCTTGGGCGATCCTTCCGTCTCAGCCTTCCAAGTAGCTGGAACTACAGGCGTGCGCTACCATGCCCGGCTAATTTTTTGATTTATTGTAGAGATGAGGTCTTGCCAAGTTGCCCAGGCGGGTCTCAAACCTGCAGGCTCAAGCAATTCACTCACCTCAGCCTCCCAAAGCACGGGATTACAGGCTGAGCCACTGAGCCCAGCTTAATTTTTTTATTTATTATAGAGATAAGGTCTCTCCAAGTTGCCCAGGCTGGTCTCGAACCTGTGGGCTCAGGTGATCCTTCCAGCTCAACCTTCCAAGTAGCTGGAACTACAGACGTGTGCCACCATGCCCGGCTAATTTTTTGATTTATCATAGAGATGAGGTCTCGCCAAGTTGCCCAGGCTGGTCTCGAACCTGTGAGCTCCGGCAATCCTCTCAGAGTGCTGGGATTATAGGTGTGAACTACTGTGCCCAGCCAAGTATGCCGTTTTTTGTTTTTGTTTGTTTGTTTTTTTGAGTTGGAGGTTCCCTCTGTCACCCAAGCTGGAGTGCAGTGGCATGCTCACAGCTACCGCAGCCTCAACCTGCTGGGCTCAAGTGATCCTTCTGCCTCAGCCTTCCAAGTAGCTAGAACTACAGGCATGTGCCACCATGCCTGACTAATTTTAAAAAAATTTTTATAGAGTCGAGGTCTCACCAAGTTGGCCAGGCTGATCTCAAACCCCTGGACTCACACAATCCTCTTGCCTCAGCCTCCCAAAGCACTGGGATTACAGGCTTGAACCACTGCACCCAGCTCCGGTTTTGGTTCTAAAATGAAGGATACAGAGGGTAACCTGCTGTCTTCATCAGACATCTAGGGGCCAAGCCTGGGACCAACTCAACTCTTTCTCGTTCTCACATATCAGCCAGAATCTTTCTGCATAAACCATATCTGATCACCAAACTTGAGCAAGAAGAGAAACAGTGGAGAACACATCTCCATCTCACATACAGAGAACGCCTTCTTTCAGGTAAGAATTGCTGCTGGGCATGGTGGCTCAAACCTGTAATCCCAGCACTTTGGGATGCCAAGGCAAGAGGATTGCCTGAATCCAGTGGTTCGAGACCAGCTTGGGAAACTTGGTGAGACCTCTTCTCTACAATAAATCAAAAAATTAGCCGAGCATGGTAGTGCACGCCTATAGTTCCAGCTACCTGGAAGGCTGAGGTGGAAGGATTGCCTGAAACCAGCAAGTCAAGGCTGTGGTGGCTGTGAGTGTGTTGGGTGACAGAGTGAGACTCTGACTTAAAAAAGAATTGCAAAGGAGAGAGGAAGATAACCTCTGCAAGATGTAAAGCTGACTGAGAGCATCAAGGTTCTGTATATCCTCTCCTAGCTTACCTCTTCCCACCTGGTCAGACTTGGAGTTGGAAAAGGTCCTGTGATCATAGACTAAATTCCCTTGGCCTCAAGATGAATAGTGAAGCCTTTCAGGACAAGTGAATGACTTCAGTTTTCAGGAATTGAGAGATTACATGATTGCTTATGTCTGTGATACTGCTCTGATTAAAAAGTTCTTTCCACTAGGCACAGTGACCTATAACCCCAGCTACTCAGGAGGCTGAGGCGGGAGGATGGCATGAGGCCAGGAGTTCAAGACTAGCTTGGGCAGCATAGCGAGATCCAGTCCTTGAGACTGGATGTCACTGTCACTCAGAGAGAGAGAGATACTCCCTGAGCCTCTCCTGCTCTTCCAGAAGCTAGACACGTTTGAGGATTTGGCAGTGAATTTCAATTTCAAAATATGAAAAGAAAAATACATTTCTTTCCAAGAGAAAAGAAAAGCTAAGGAGATAAGCTTGATGCTGTGTTGGAACAAGGGAGGCTTGTTCTTGGGGGTAAAGAGTTGAGAGAGGTATCAGACTAGGCTGACCACACATCGCGGTTTGCCAGAACAGTCCTGGTTTATAGTTCTCATCCCAGCTTGATGTTAATAACACCTCTTTTCACTCTCAAGTACCTCACTGTGCATGATGTATTATGTGGTCACCTGTGGGTGTCTGTGGGGTGTCTATGGGAGTGTAAGCAGTATTGAAAATGAAATGGATTTCAAAAAATGTGGTTATAGGTTAAAATTTAGATCTCTGACACTGTTGAAAGATTCCAGTTAAATTTTTATTTGCTTTTAATTTGAAAAGCCAAAGCCAAACTTTTTTTTTCTTATTTCTAGCCTTTGAGGTCCAAGAGTAAAGATGAATGTTGGGTGGGAGAGCAAGAGCCGAGAGAGGAAGTGGCTTGGGTTAGAGCTAGTGTTGGGTTCCCATGGTGAATCTTGTGCTGTTCTTCCTTATTCACTACAGGAGGCAAGGAGGAGAGACCTCGAGAACAAGATCAGAGACTGAGAGATGAGGGGACTAGTGATGACAAGAAGACCTCCCTTGCTTGTAGAAGGGCTGGCCAGCATCCTGCCTCTGCTTCAGCTGGGTCTACAAACAGGACCCCAGTGTTGCAAGCATCTCGGGCTAGGCCACTCTTTTCTTGCCACACCTGTGGCAAGTGTTTCAGTAGGCGCTGCTACCTCTATAACCACCAGTTTGTTCACAACCCCAAGTGGACTAACAGCTGCAGCCAGTGTGGGAAGTTGTTTTGGAGTCCCAAGTCCCTCAGTGACCACAAACGCATGCATCTTGGGGAGAGGCCCTTCTGTTGCTCACTCTGTGATAAGACCTACTGTGATGCTTCTGGACTGAGTCGTCACCGCCGTGTCCACTTGGGTTACCGGCCCCATTCATGCTCCATGTGTGGGAAGAGCTTCCGGGACCAGTCTGAGCTCAAACGCCACCAGAAGATACACCAAAACCAGGAGCCAGTGTCTGGAAATCAGGAGCATATCGTGAGGATTCCAGGCATCCCCACTGGATTCCAGACACCCATCATCAGAAGCCGGAGGTCCATCCAGGGGCTTGTGGATGTTAACCAAGCACCAGTGGCTCAGTCCCAGCCACCTGTACTTAAGAACCAAGCTCCTTTAACCAGGACCCAGGCACCCAACACTAGAGCCCCCTGCCTGGATACCAGATCCAACTCTCATCCAGTGAAACTCTCAAGACTCAATGTCTTTTTTTGCCCCCGTTGCCCCTTGACTTTTAGCAAGAAAACCTATCTCTCCAGCCACCACAAGGACCACCTCACAGAGCAGCCCAACTGCTGTTTCCATTGCAGCAAGTCCTTCAGTTCATTCTCCAGGCTGGTCAGGCACCAGCAGACCCATTGGAAGCAGAAGATCTACCGTTGCCCTGTCTGCGACCTCTGCTTTGGGGAGAGAGAGGGCCTTGTGGGTCATTGGAAGGGCTGTAAAGGCAAGGAACTGTGCCTGGGCAACCCTCGTAAATGCTGGCTGATCCTGGGCCAGTGGCTTGGCTTCTTTTGTGATGCCTCCTCCATGGCCGGGAAGGATCAGAGGCATGGAGGAAGCAGGTCTCCTCCTGGGATCCATAACCCCAGGAGAGGGGTTATAAGGGAGAAGGCGTGCACAGGAGACAAAGCAAAGGAGGCAGCGAGCATTTTGAAGCATAAATAAATGGCCTCTCTGACTGAGGTCTTTCTTGGTGTTTGGTTTTCCTGAGGACTGACCTCCGGGGTAAGGAGGCTGGAGTAGAAAAAGAGAGGTGAAGCCGGGCTCGGTGGCTCAGCCTGTAATCCCGCACCTTTGGAAGTCTGAGGTGAGTGGATTGCCTGAGCCCGCGGGTTTGAGACCCGCCTGGGCAACTTGGCGAGACCTCATCTCTACATTAAA